CCTAGGGTTGGTGTCCCCCAGTGCAGTAACATGGTATCACCCCACCACCACCATTGACCTCCTTTTATAGCACATCATACAGAATAATTAGTAATTTTTTTCTATCAATGTTACTCATAAATCAAAATTCCCATATATCACTGAATGTAATAATAATAGTTGTGACATAAACAACTAGTAAAATTAAAGTTATATCTTTAAATTACAATATCATATGCACAGCCTAACTATATTTACATGTAAATAGTTTCATGTGGTTAAAGTGAAAATTTGGTATGATGTGATTTTTTAAAGAAAACTTTAAAATTTAAATTTATTTATTTATTTATTTATTTATTACTGTTTGTTATGGATTTGTTTTATATGCAATTGTTCTGAGCCGCCTTGATTGCCCAAAGGCAAAAGGCGGGGTATAAAAATAAAGTTTCTTATTTATTATTATTATTATTTATTTAAATTTAACTTCTTTATTAAAAAAAAACAAACCAACCCTGGGGCCTCTCCTTCCTCCTCCCACTGAGTCTCAGCTCACTCACACCATATCTTCATCATTTTAAAGGGACACAGATGAACATCATAGCTCATTTCTGCCAAAAGGCAAATGTTTGGGGAGCAGTGATGTTTCCCCACTTAGGATGTCACCTTGTACAGCCCACCCTCCCAGTGATGCCCCTGTCAAAAAGTATTAAACAGTAGTAAATCTTGAGTTTAATCCCAACAAATTGAATGTTCCCTGGCTAGAGTTTCACTTACTGCTGGTGGAAAGGTATTTGCTTTTTCCCGATTTGGTTGGTAAACTGCCTATATGGTCTGAAAATCTGCTCCAGAAGGCTGGAGGACCCTCTAGAACAGGGGTAGGCAACCTTTCCCCTTTAAGGGCTGAGGGACTTCAGCTCCCAGAATCCCAGGAGCTATTGGCCAACATGGGACTATTGGCCAACATGGCTGAGGGTTCTGGGAGCTGTGTCCCTCGGCCCTTAAAGGGGAAAGGTTGCCTACCCCTGATCTAGAATATTTGGGTGTGGGACAGAGGGTGGACTGACAAAATCTGCCTTCAGCTTTCACTATTAGATCAGAAAGCTTCCAGAAATGGAACTGCTCTTTCAATCACAGAAGGTTAACATATAATACCCATGCCACCATTTGATGTGAAAAGCAGTACAGCACAAAATAGGTTATTGAACCAAATGTCTGAGCTTATCGCACCATGCTCTTAAAACGGGGCTAGATCGCTTTAACTGCTCTGACTGCCTCTTGTTGCATTTTGGGGTTTGCAGTTCAGTGAGGCTTAAAGGCTCTATGGCTAAATATTCTAAATGCCCCTTCCTAAACTACAAGTTCCAGAATGCAACAGGAGGCAGCCAGAGCAGTTAAAGTGACCTAGCCCCATTTTAAGAGTGTAGAGTGGTAAAAGGCTTATCTAAGTGCTCCTTCCATATAAGTAATTGGTCTGTCATTTGTCAATTTCCCCACAGCTATTTGATTGCTGCTATAGTAAACATGGGTGGCATTGGTGGGATCATGACCAATGTCCAGTACAAAGCCAAAGAATTAAGAGGCAGAAATGCAAAGCCACTTTGGGTCCCTTATGGGAGAAAGGAGGCATACAAATGAAATAAATAAATAAATAATAAAATGAATGTAGTAAGACTAAATGTCCATTAGTTCAGTTGTGCCTTTGGTGTAAGTTAGGAAGTCAGTCCACAAAGAGAGCTGGAAGGACCAAATTAAAAGAATGCAAGGTAATAAGTTACAGAGAAATTGAGAAAGGCAGAAAGAGGCTAGAGCAAAAGATCACAGAATACACAGGGGGCAAAGGATGAGAGAATATATGGCAGAGAAATCTGAGGTAGGCCCCTGTCCAGTCAAAATATTGAAACAATATAATTACATATAGAATAAATCAGAATATAAAATAGATAATCTGAAATATTTTAAAATGTCTAAAATTAAGATCCTGACAAAATGGAAAGGTTTCTTATTTATACCTGAAGGACAATAATGCTCTTGTTACATGAGGCTCCCTGGAGAAGGCATTTCATAGATGGGATGCCGTGTCCCTAAAAAAGCATTCTTAATGGTTATCACTCACTTTGCCACCAATAAATTAGGAATAGAAAGTAGGGTCACAAGCAGGTGATCTTAGCTTCCAGGCAGGATGGTATGAGAGAAGGAACTTCTTCGGACAGCTAGGTCCAATTGATTTGGGACTTAAAAGTCAATACTATCACTTAGAATTGGACTTGGGGAGAAAACAAGTTGATCTCTTTTAACACTGAGATATCACCCAAACAGACTGTGCCAGGCCAAATCCTGGCAGCTGTAGACTAACAGCTGAAGCAACCAAACCATATTCAGTGGTGGCCCTGGGGCTACAAGTAGACTCTGCAAGCTATTTTTCTGGTTCTTAAACCCTCCAGACTCCCCAGACTGCCCTTTTCCAAATGAAAAGGAGGATAAGTAAGTGGCAATTCCCCTTTTAAACAGGTGATAGGAGCTACCCACACTGTGTAACCCCCACTAATGCCCCTTTTTCAAAAACCAAATTGGAGGTTCAGCCACTTTGCTTTGTGAGAGCCCATTTTTGACAGCCTGCATAGCTCCCAAAAGATCCCAAGAAAGTTACTGACAGGAGATCAGGAGGGATGGACAACTGTAGCACTAAGCATACTGAAGCAGCAGCCTCAGGCAGATGATTTTGGCTGCTATGACATGGTGTCAATTTATTATCAAGTTATATTTCAAGGAGAAATACTTGTGAGTTTTTCTAACTTGGGTAACAAAAAATTGCCCATTCCATCTTGACCAGAATGGGGGCATTATTTTCAAAGGTTCAGCAAAAGATCTTAGGCTAGGGGTAGGCAACCTTTCCCCTTTAAGGGCCGAGGGACTTCAGCTCCCAGAAGCCTCAGCCATGTTGACCAATAGTCCTATGTTAGCCAATAGCTCCTGGGATTCTGGGAGCTGAAGTCCCTCGGCCCTTAAAGGGGACAGGTTGCCTACCCCTGTCTTAGGCCAATACTGGGACAGACCACCCTTGCCCCAGTGAGGCTGCTAGCAGAAGATAGTCAAGGCACGCCATACTACTGAGACTATTTAAGCTAGGTCAAAGAGAAAACCCCCAAATATGGACCTTCTTCCTGTCCTAAACAGATGGAATACCACCTTTCAGCAATGAATGTTCAGTATTCAGTGGACTAGTACTTCACAGTGGCCAGTTTTTTCTTGTCCTGTCCCCTGTATAGGATATGATTTGGACAACCAGCTACACAAAGGTAACTTCATTTCTATTCACACTGTAATCATATTGGTGATTGTGATTGTTGCTGTGTGTCTTCAAGTCATTTCAATTTATGGCAATCCTATTAGGAGGTTTTCTTGGCATTCAGTGGGTTTTCATGGCAAAGCGTGGATTCGAACCCTGGTCTGTCAGTGTCTTAGTCTAACACTCAAACCACTACACCATGTTGGCTCTCTTGGTGAGCAGCATCTATAAAACATGCACTCAAGCATGTACTTTATCACATGCACATACTATAGGGCAACAACTGTATGGTTCTTTAGTTTGGGGCCAATAATTGAAACAACTAAATAGATAATAAGCCTTTTCTGGCTTCAGAAAGGGGGAAAATCTTTTATCAATGCTAACAGTCATACCTGCTGATGTTTCAATAAATTTTTCACTTGTCTTCTTTTTCCGCCATTTCCACGGTTTGAAGATTTTGCCAATAGTAGAAAGTTTTCCCTTCCTCTTGAAAGGAGGAGTTCGGGAACCTGAGGCTGGTCCATCTGATGTTGCAACTGATGCCTTGTCAATCCCATCAACTGTATAAACAAAGGAGGAAAACTAAGTCAATTATTTTAATGAAACCTCTGGAGCAGCAGTCTGTTTTTAGTTTGAGACACTTGAGCCTCTAGGTGAAAATATGAAACATTCCAGAGGGTTTGTTAGTATACCCTATGCTTCTTTAAATGACCTTTTAAAAATAGTGAAACTTAGTTTAAAACAAGAATAATATTTTTTTTATAAAAGTATCTACTTATGAAAAAGTATAAACAGTACCTTCTAGCTGGAATATTTCAAAACAGCAAGAGATACTGAGTTGGCACTTTGAAATCCAGTATTCAGTTCCATTAGCTTTGTTAAAAGAACTTCAAGATTGTTTTGTCAACAATGAGGCCTAGCATATTTAATTTCAAAATCAGATTTTATACTCCTGGAACTCTACATGCACTGCAGTCCCAGTTCACACTGTAGATTCAAGGGGAAGTTAGGGCCTTTGCAGACTGCCAGAAATAGTGCACATTAAATTGAGTCACTGCCCTGGCTCAGTGCTAGGGAGTCATGGGAATTGCATTTTTTTCTGAGACATTGAGCCTTCTCTGTCAGAGAGCTCTGGTGCCACAATAAATTACAGTTCCTATGATTCCCTAGCACTGAGCCAGGGCAGTGCCTCAATTTACCGGTAATGTGCACTATTTATGGCAGTCTGCAAAGGCCCTTAGTCTGCTTACAGCAACAAAACAGCCAAGATATGTAACTGGACAAAATAAAGCCACAACTTTATTGGTTACAGTTGTACATAAGGCTGTGTCCTGTTTTCGTTCTCTGAATCAAAGTCCATCCCAGAGTCCTGGAGGCAGGGAATGACAGGTTGGTGCCAACATGGACCCAGATCTGGCCAACAACCAACCACCTGTTGCTCAATGAACTATTACGAGGCCTGTTTATCAGTCAGTACCAGGGATGACAGCTCTAGGATTTCACATGGGTGATGCCACTGTGTGACTCCTCTGCCACTTGGGGGTGTGCCAAACCCAACACTGTCCAGATCTTGGTGTGATCCCTGCTGCTGGCACTCCCAAAATCCCATGAGGGAACCTCTATTCCTAGCCTACCTGCTTCCTGAATCTGGATTCCATATGAACTGAGTACAAAGTTGTGACAAATGGAGATTAACTATATAATACAATTTCCATTTGCAGGGTGGTGGGGATCACTCTCTGAAGAGAAGTGAGCCTGAGTTGCTGATGTTGGTGGGGGGGGGGCTCCCTATTTTACTAGCACACAGCTGGACTGAAAACTAGTCAGCAGCTTCACTCCAGTTCCACCTCCCAGCCAACACTTTAAATTTAGTGGCTAGTGGTTCCCACTATTCCCAGAGCCTGCATGTGGGATACTGGGAAATGATAATCTGATAAACACTATTACAGACCTGGTGTCACATCCGTTGTGCCCCTGGACTGCAAAATTTTCTACTGGTAAGTCGGGAAGTGTGCTTGTCTGGGACCTGGTTTATGCATCCATATCACTTGATTTATCTGCATTTGATTACTTAGCTTGTGTCTTAATGTGTGCATTTGTGTCTGAAGAGAGTTTTATCGTGGATACAGATATTGGTCCTGTATCCTTGTCTATCAAGTAAGCAACAAGAAGGGTGCACAGGCCTACCATTCCTTGTCACAGCCAGGAGTACCAAATGCCAATGAACCTTAGCCAAAAGGGAAAAATAGAAGTCTACATAGATTACCACACTACACTCTTAAAGTGCTGCTATTCCACTTTTATTGCCCTGGCTGCCTCCTGTTGCATTCTGGGGTTTGTAGTTCAATGAGGTCTAAGAGCTCTCTGGCTGAGAATTCTAAATGCCTGTCCCTCAACTGCAAATCCCAGAATGCAACAGGAGGCATCCAGCACAGTTAAAGTGGAATAGCAGCACTATAAGAGTGTAGTAAGCTAATCTCCTATTACACCTATAGGTATCATTCATGAATCAGCTGATTATGCTTTGCAGCTGAATTATGACTGAGAAACACTGCATATGTGGTGTGAAATGTGATGAGATACAAAGGCTTTCTCTATGCTGGCCCACTCATCATCAGTGTATTTAAAGAGCTCCATAGTATCCCAGTTCGCAATAATAACATTGCTTAGGCTCGGTTTGCATGTAATTGTTAACCTATCATTCAATATCAGGAGGATGCACCAAAGGGAGTCTTGAGTGTGTACATACCATCCATTCCATCACTCCCTTTAGTGCTGCCATAATGAAACCAAAAGCCTCCATTTAGTTTAACCACAGTTTAACACTATATCTTAGTTCACTGTGGCTTGCTCTTGTAATGCTAAACTATGATTCAGTATTACATGTGAATGGCTGAGCAACTTGTGAATAGCTGTGATGTTAATATTTGTTGTTATTTACCATCAAGTCAACTTTGAATTATGGGGACCTTATGAATGAGATACCTCCAAGAACCCTTGTCATCCACTGTCCTGCTCGGATCTTACAAATTGAGGGTAGCCATGGCAGCTCCACCTGGTGCCTTGCTGATTCCCCAAAACAGTACACACACACAGACAGAGATGTAGTTTGTGGGAGGGAGAGTGAGCAGAGGGGAAAGACTATATAAGCACCAGGGTAGAGGGAGAGGAAGATAAGGAAGGTGGGATCAAAGAGAAAAAGCAGAGGAAAATAGAAAGAGCACTGGGGTGTGAGGACTTGGGGACTTTGCAGACTGCCAGAAATAGTGCAAATTGAGTCCACTTTAACTGCCCTGATTCAGTGCTAGGGAATCATGGGAACTGTAGTTTATTGTGGCACCAGAGCTCTCTGACAGAGAAGGCTCAATGTCTCAGAAAAAAATACAATTCCCATGATTCCTTAGCACTGAGTCTGGGCAGTTAAAGTGGACTCAATTTGCACTATTTTTAGCAGTCTGCAAAGGCCCTAAGAGGGTTTTAACCCCTTAGTTAAAAAAATTAAAAATAACAAAATTGTTACTTCTGCTAATCCAGCATAAAATCAACATGAAGCAAAACACATTCTCTCACCTATTTTGTTTTACTTCTTGGAAGAAAGAAGAAACAACAAAATCAATAGCAGGTAGTAGTATCAAAAAAGAAAAAGTGTCAATCATAGATCATACAGCTGGTTTCATGTATTTTTCTTCTACTCGCTATACAACTGTTAACTTCAGGAAATTCTTTCATGAGCTAATTGTTCTGACAGCATTTTAATTAAAGGAAAGGGAAAAGCTTGGGTATTAATGTGGGTGGCTGAATAGTGGTTTCCAGATGGGGCTCCCAATGCTGCAAAATGTTAATTAGGCCTCCTGCTAGAGAAGAGATTAAAAGTGTAGGTAGCTGTGTTTGCAAATGAATCTTGACTTTTGCCTTAATACTGAGAGAGTGGGTACAGTAGTATCATTCATCTTCCTTATGACTGTGATAGAAACAGGAGTCATATACACACATTGATATTACTAATTCTAACCCTGAAACATGTCAAGGAAAAATTTAAGTTTGCCAAGTGACAATGTTTGCTCTTTCAAAGGTCCAAAATAATGTCACATGTTAATTTGCCTCGCTTTATATCTTCAAAGTACCTACTCAGTACACAAGGATTTGTTCCTCAGTTCTTTTTAAAATATTTTTTTTCCTGATTTGCTCCTATATATGTCCACCCCCACAAAATTCTTTTTGAAACCTGGCAACCTTGCTTGCCTTCCAAGACAACATTTTCCTGTGTTAAATCTGTCCTGACTGCTCCAGGGGATTCATTTTTATGGAGAATATTACATGTGACCCTGACCTTCCATGGAATGCAAATTTATACTGAAGTTATGTAGCCATGTCAGTCTATCGAAGCAAAAGCAAGAGGAATCTTACAGCATCTTAATGGCAAACAAATGTATTACAACATTATCAGACTTTATGTATTGGATGATTCTTGCATGGTGGAAAGTGCAGTGCAAGAGAAGCTGCAATGAATGTGTAGAATGTCCAGTCACATACAATTCCACATCTATATCTCTAGGAAATTGTTTGAATGCATTGTGTGTTGGAAGATTTAGATGTTGTGAACTGTCAAACTGCCTAAGCTTTCCCCTATTAATGAGAATTTCCTTAGGCCTGAAAAGCACCATAAATTAAACAGATGACCACTACACAAATATTTAGAATCAATAGGCATATTTATATTTACCATTGTGTATTCTTCATAACTATATTTCAAGAACTTCAGCACTAACACCACCGATATTAAGAACAGCTGTTAAAGATGGAGAATACTATATAGTGTAGTATAATTACAGTGGGACTTTGGTATCTGCCCCGGGTTTGCTTCCAGGGCCCCCAGTGGAGACTAAAAACTGTGAATACTCAAGACCCATTGTATACAATGGTGTAGTAAAATGGTGTCTCTTATATAAAATGGCAAATCAAAGTTTGCTTTTTGGATTTAAAAAAAAATATTTTCAAGCCGTGGATAGATGAATCCATGGATACACAATCTGTGGCTATGGAGGGCTCACTGTATTAGGCAAGATACTATTGACACTGAAGGCCTAAGCAGACTGCCAGAAATAGTGCACATTAAATTGAGGCACTGCCCTGGCTTAGTGCTAGGGAATCATGGGAATTGTATTTTTTTCTGAGACATTGAGCCTTCTCTGTCAGAGAGCTCTGGT